ATATATGGGCCATTCTATGCGAAATCGCGCACTTTTGGACCTCGACCTCTCAAATTCTTTTTATCCTTTGCTGATTAATAGGGTAAAGGCCAGCATAAGGAAAGCCGAAAAAAAACATAGAAAAGTGAATTCCCTGTCAAGTTTCACCTCTCTAAAGTTGCAAAATTTGCCAGTGTGCCGTTTGGCATGCCTATCTTTGGAGACTTGTAATTTGGCCTGTTCGCAACAAAATCTAATGATTTTTTTAATTTGGCATATTCGCGAATTGAGTAACTAAATTCCGGTCAAAATTCACAAAGATACAATAAAAACAAAATTTCAAACAATCATAGAAAAAAAAAGCGCTTCTTGAAATTTTTTAAGAAGGATATATTTTGTGCAGAATTTTTTGCTCTACAACTAATGAAAATTTGGAGATGGCGACTTTTTGATATCGAGAGTTAAGAGCCAGAGAAGAATGTAAGGCTGAAAAAAATCTTTTATTTTTATAGTAATCCCATGTATTTTACAGTGGCGAAAACCACCAAGAGCCGCTTCTGAAAGCGGCAGCTGGCAGCCACAAGTATACGGTACGCTTCAAATGTTGGAAATTCGCTACCAAAATTGTACTTTGTTTTAAAAATATTGCTAAATCATTATTCTGTAGAGTCATTATAGGTGTTCTTCAATCTAGCTTTTTCTACTTTTCGTGTTTTGTTTTATCAGAGCTATGTAGCTAGTATGCATTTTGGCGTTGCGAAGAAGTCTGAGAATTCAGTGCTTTACCTGGGCAACTGTTAGATTAAGGTTTTTATGAAAACTTTTTGTGTTTCTGGAGAACTGCAGACAAGTCGAGCCTAACGAAAACTTAAACGATTAGAGTACACAGACAATTCTAAAAGCTCAGGAACCACGACGTACAACATGTAGGAAGGGCTGGATTGAAGACCACCCATTATGACTCTACAGAACAATGATTTTTCAAAATTATCAAGACAAACTACAGTTTTGGTAGCGAATTTCCGACGTTTAAAACATATCGGATACTTGTAGCTGCCAGCTGCCGTTTTCAGAAGCGACTCTGGGTAGTTTTCACCACTGTAAAATACATAGGATTACTATAAAAATAAAGGATTTTTTTCAGTCTTACATTCTTCTCTGGCTCTTAAACTCTCGATATCAAAAAGTCGCCATCTCCAAAATTTGATATGTTGTAGAGCAAAAAATTCTACACAAAATATATCTTTCTTAAAAAATTTAAAGACACGCTTTTTTTTCTATGTTTGTTTGAAATTTTATTTTTATCTTATCTTTGTGTATTTTAATCGGAATTGAATTGTCAGAACGTGACAAACATGCCGGATTAAAAAAATCATTAAATTTTATTGAGAACAGGCCAAATTACAAGTCTCTAAAGATAGGCATGTCAGGGAGCAGACTGGCAAATTTAGCGGGATGTAACTTGGCAGGAAATTCACTTTTCTACGTTTTTTTCGGCTTCTCTTATACTGACTTGTACTCTACTAATCAGCAAAAGATGAAAAGAATTTGAGAGGTTGCGGTTCAAAAGTGCGCGACTGGCATGGAATGGCCTGTATATA